TTTAGATGTATTTAGCCAGTAGGCCTTTAATCTTAAAGACTTTATATAAATTAAGAAGTTGAGTAAAATGAATCCTGACGTATGAAATTGTAAGTGCTCCCTGTAGGGTTACAGTCACCTTATTCTTCGTGACTTGACATCATTTTCATTTACTACTCTATAAGAAACATTTATTAAAACAAATCTGGTTGAAATGACTTAAGGAGGATTTAACCCTGTGACCCAGTTGGCTAACTGTAAGGCCCTCTTACTATCACAAAGGATTCTACTGATTTTTATGTCACAACCACAAGTGGTGGCATATTGTTGCGGTTTCCAACGTTTTTGTGACAGCGTCCAGCGGTGCCCATTCAGTGTCTGTAACAAATGGCAGGTGGTGACATTTTTCATGTTAATTCTTTGTATGTTTATGATATCATAATGTTAATGTATCAACAAATGACTTTTACTTTTAGTCTTATATGAAGTCTCTAGCCATTCCGGATCATCTGTTGCCCTCTGAAAAAAAAATAATAACCTGTTTCCCTCTGGCTAACCCTCCCCTCTCTGTCTGGTCACTCCTTCCCTACCCTTAGCTAGAGAATTGATGGACACAATTATAAGAACTGATAAAATCTGAAAAGTTTTGTTGATGCATAATACTGACTCTGTCATGAACTCAGAATTATACTAAAGCCTTGAGGTTGGTAAAGTAAAGCTCTCTGTCAGAGATCAAGAAGTTAAGTAAAAAACACAGGGTATATCAGAATAAAAGACACAACTAATGATGATGTGATCTCATACTCCATAATATGATTTATTCCCCAAAGTTGTTGAGGCTAAAAAACTAATTTGAATCCAGAGTCTGGCACTATAGAAAAGAAGTTGTCAATTATTAAATCCCATGATGCTGTTCTAACCTGTAATAGAAATATCACTTAGGTCATAGTGATTTCAAATCATGTCTCTCTGAAATCTAAACGAAATACAATTAGGGACTGTGTTCAATGTTGGCAGTTGTGGAAAAATGATGTCAATTTCACTATGGTTGAAGAATTTGACTGAGTGTTATCTTGGCATTTGTTAAGGAAATGTTACATCCTGTGAAAGAAACGATTAGACCTGCTGAAGAGATAAATGTATTTTATGAAAAGTGAATTTGATTTTTTAAGATCAGCTGATATCTACCCCCCCCCCCCCTCCCTCCAAAACAAAGGCATCAGACACGTTCATTGCTATTAGGATTTTAGTCTCTTGAAGTCATAAATATAGTGATTTTCATTAAAATGATTAGACATGCTGAAGAGATAAATGTCCTTTATGAAAACTGAAATTTGCTTTTTTAGATCAGCTGATATCTACCCCCACCCCCCCCCCCCTCTCCCCTCCCTCCCAAAGGCATCAAAGACACCTTCAATGTATTAGGATTTTAGTCTTTTTATTTAAGTCATAAATATAGTGATTTTCACTGGAGATTCAGTGTAGCGCTTTTCCACTATGTGTCAAATTCTACGCTAGCCTTTTCCTTGATTAACTTTTCATTAGGTTTGTTGAAATAATAAAAATGTCAGTTTTGATTAGGTTTCTGTCTGTTATTACCCTTTCAATCAATTTATTACTTAGATCTCTCATAACATATGGGACTCTTGTTTACTGGTCAGTATTAGGAGAAGAAACAACCGTTATCTTCTCTTTCAAAATGGCAAATGGCAAGTGTCAATTCACTCATTGTTTTTTAGTTTTCATTGAATTAACTTTGCCTTTGATATTCTTATAAATACCAAAGATGAATGTCTGTGGAAAAATAGTTTAATTGGACAAATACAAGTTACCTTTTCCTGATGGCCATTAAACCATATCCTGGAGGTTGTTTTCTTCTGATGGAATTGTTATTGTCTTCTTCTGATGGTTGTCATCTTCTGATGGAATTGTTAAATTAGTATTTTCAGAGTTAGTTATTGATGTAATGAAGGCCTACAATAATCATGTCAACTCAATTAAGGACAGTTCAGATAAGTAGTCTTGTTTTAATCTGCTAAATACAACTAATTCAGATATTTACAGGAGGAAAAGGTATAAAATATTGCTTATTGGTAAAGCAGCGGTCTCCCCAGGATTTTTTCTCAGGTGGGTGCAAAATTCTCATTTTCACAATGCATACCAGAATTGGTCAAATATGCCAATTTTTCATGATATTTCTCATTTTCAAGTGGGTGCAAATTGATTTTCAGGTGGGTGCAAGCCTATTTTCAAAATCTCAGATGGGTGCTGCGACTTGCTTTAATAGATAGGGAGATACTCACTCAGAAAATGCTAATAATTTTTAGTATAAATAGGACCTGTAGTGTACATTAAGAACAAGATGATTTGACAAAGATTTTTGCGTAAACTGAATGATTAATAGAATATTCAATGATTTCAGCAATATTTTTTCATGAAATTAGAAAAAAGACATTGTGATCTTTCCGGCTATTTTTCATAATCATGTTGATATTGTTTACAGTATATGCCTTGTTTGTAATCATGATGATTCCATTTTGTTACGACTTGCATGACTTAAGTTCAGTCTCGGAATATGCATGCAGTGCATACAGATTAGTTAAAACTAAGCGCCCTGAGACGAGAAGTATTCGAAAAGTACAAAATATCTATCACTTTTAATTTAGCAGGGATGACGTATAGAATACTACATATTCTTATTCCATTGAGGTGAAATTCCCATGTTTACAAATGATATTCCATGAAGCCGAAGGGTATTCTCTGGAAATAGAATGGCCAATCATGCAATTGCAATATTTAAGCGCAAGTGCCAATGGGAAAACGCCAGAAATGATTACAGAACACAAGAAATATATCTAAGAAAGAAATAATATTATAATATTAAGAAAAATATCTAAGAGTATACAGTCATCGGAAAGCATACCCTAAATACAATCCAACTTAAAAAGAAACTGTCCCCCATCTCCTTACCATTCAAGTACCAATATCACAAGCTTGAGACTGATTAAATGATACATTGCACTGAAAATGTTTTCTTCAAAAAGTCTGCATTTAACAATAGTGCACTTTTGTTCCGTATTAAATCAGAAATCAATAAATAATGTTCTTAATGGTTTATCTTAATAGAAAATGATGTTTTGGACTTCAAATATGTGATATGGTGATATCAGAGTGTAATGCGGATTCTGTATCAACATTTAAATACAGGATATAATCATGCCACATGAGCCAATCAGATCAATGGAAATCTCGCGGTCAAAGAAAAATATTTGCCTTTGATATTTTAAGCAAATAACAGAAATAGATGCTTCACTGACTCTGTGTGATGTATTACATGTTAAATCGGTTGTGATATTTGTACGCTTTACTGTAAGCCTTATTAGAGAGCAAGAAGTTGATGAAGATATATGACTCTTTGGTGCAAATACTCCCGGACTTTGTTTTTCAATTTTAGTTTTCTTGTACAATTGAGTCCGCTGTAGTATTTCTTGTTATTCTTGCCATTAAAATCTAAGTGGTGAAATGTAGAATAGGAGGTGGGGGAAAATCTTACTTATTTTATATGTCACCACGACAAGTGTTGACATATTGTTGTGGTCTCCATTTTTTGTGGATGGTGTTCAGCATTCAGTAGTTGGTGTTTGGTGGTTGGCATTCGACATTTGTAACAAATGGTGGGTGATGACAGCTAGCATGTTTTTACCAGCTGGAGTGTCACTAGTGTTCTGGAGTGTCATCAATATGTTATGCCTTGTTTTTTTAAAAAATGCTCTGTATATGATGCATTTTAGCAGACGGGACAGAACTAGTCATATACCTCTTTTTCCTGATAACTTTTTCTATTCTCAATACTTTTTCATGAAACATTCATGAGATAAACATTAAAGCAATCCTAACATACAAAATCTTTTGTTTAACACCATGTTCTGTCCTGGCTACTCTATAAGAGTATACAGTAGTCAGCAAATTGATGCACCAGTAGATCAGTAGTTGTGAATTCAGTCTTGTGTATAGAAAACTCCCACACCATCTTCTTCACATTCTTTCCCCTGTTGAGGTGAAGTATTAAGGGGGGGGCATTACAAGAACTTGTAAACTCTCAATTGAGTTTGAGATTTCCTCATGTAAGGCAGTTTCAAGTGAACAAGACCTTTATGTGTCAAGATATTGATATATTAGATTTATGTTTACATTTTAACAAAAAATGCAAACAATATTGTTTAGATTATATGTTTTAATAGAATTTTACGTAGGTGTCATTTTTGGTCCAATATTAAGAGCGTGTACTTTTACCATTTTAGGGATATAATCTATAAAAGAGAGATGATTCACACTTTGAAACACTGAACAAAAATTATCCTTTATTGACCAATGCTTGTCTCCAAGTTAGAATGTTCCAATATATAACATTTTACAAGACAGACCTCTACCCTCTACCCCTTCCCAACACCTGTACCCCTCCACCCTTCCCAACACCTATACCCCTCCGCCCCTTCCCAATACCTGTACCCCTCCACCCTTCCCAACACCTGAACCCCTCCACCCCTTCCCAACACCTGAACCCCTCCATCCCATCCCAACACCTGTTCCCCTCTACCCCTTCCCAACATCTGTACCCCTCAACCATTTCCTAACACCAGGACCCCTCCACCCCTTCCCAACACCTGTACCCCTCCACCCCTTCCCAACACCTGTACCCCTCCACCCTTCCCAACACCTGTACCCCTCCACCCTTCCCAACACCTGTACCCCTCCACCCCTTCCCAACACCTGTACCCCTCCACCCTTCCCAACACCTGTACCCCTCCACCCTTCCCAACACCAGGACCCCTCCACCCCTTCCCAACACCTGTACCCCTCCACCCCTTCCCAACACCTGTACCCCTCCACCCCTTCCCAACACCTGTACCCCTCCACCCTTCCCAACACCTGTACCCCTCCACCCCTTCCCAACATCATTATGAATAATGAGATGAAGAAAATAACAGTGGACAAATAATTTGGATATCTTGTTCTTCCAGTGCGCAGTTTACTGTTAGATGGTGTTTCACCCGACGTCACCAACGAAGATGGTCTAACTGCACTTCATCAGGTAAAGAATGCTTAGATCAAAATTAACTTCAAGATAGCTAACATTATTTTATGGCCTTTGTATTTTTCTACTGATTACTTGATTTGTTTGGATATCACTGTATGCCTTTTTCTCAACATTCCCTTGAAAGTATATTGAGCTTCTACAGTTGATAAGACTGAAAGCGAGCGTCAAATTCCTGTATATTTGTCTGGAATTGTATATGTGCATGTTAAATGGTGCTTACTGCAATAAAGCTACTCATTTTGTCGCTCAAGTGTAGCTAATATCACTGATGAAAGTGGCATAACAGAATTGAAAATGTAAAATGTGATAAAGTCAATGTTTCCCCAGGCCCTTAGCCAGGATTTGCTGAAGGGGGTAGTTCACTTTTTATGTTCACATAACGAATCCCCCTCCCCCCTAGCTTCTGGCCTGTCTCCCTTATATTCCTTATAAAATAAATTGAGATATTACATCAAATATAGAAGTTAATGATGATTTAAGATGAGGAAATGTCCAAATACATTGAAATAAAAAAGTGAAAGACCTACTTTTTCAAAATTAAGGTAATCTTAAAAATGAAATTATAATACTGAAAAAAGGTCTGAACTGTTGAACCTTTTATAGAAAATAGGATTGTAATGAAAAAAAATATTTAAGCCGTAATATTATTGCTACAAAATTTTTCAATCCAAAACATGGCAATAGGACTGGATTATGAACAATGATTATTGTCTCAATGTTAATTGGTACTAGAAAGTTCCAACGAGATACTGAACAAATCATTTGGGACTTGAGTTGAATCTGAATGACAATTGTGCAATTGCATTAACCTCATTTTTATTAGCCAATGAGCTTACAGTAAAACCTTTGTATAGTGAACATTATTTTTGCCAAGAAAACACATTCCCTGTTGTTAGGTAGGTGTTCACTACAGAGAGTAATTTGTGTAGAATTCAGTAGAGTATGCACAGGGGTTTCATTAGAATTTCTCACAACAGGCTAAATAAATGAAAACAAGAGGCAAAATTAATGGAAATCATAAATCTAACATAGAAAAGTTGAAAAGTCCCTAAAGACAATAGGCAATTTTGTGAAAACAACCAGTGAAAATCGCCTGTTGCCTGCCTCTTATGAAACCCCTGATGTTTGAAGGGAGAATATCTACCATAGACAGGTTTTCATTAGAGAGAGGTGTTCATTAAGACAGGTTTTACTGTATATCATTCTTTATCTCTATCTAGATCTAGTGATCTTTATTGCAGGAGAAATTCAGTGAATTATATGTTCTTTCTTTTTTAACAGTGATTTTTAGAATAGTACAGTAAAACCTATTAAGTGGTACACCACGAGTGGAATTACTTTTCAAAGTACTATTACCTGTTAAATAGTGTACAGTTAAACTTGTAAGGTTAAACACATCCAGAAGTAGAACACGTCTATTGGTAGAACACTAAGAATCCCATGACAAACTGAGTTAATGTTAAATGTACCTCTTATAAGTAGAACACCTCCCAAGTTGAACAATTTTAAAGGTACCAAAAGTGTTCTACTTAGACAGGCATTACTGTAGCTACATTTCTCTATATGTTTAGGAACCCTTATACCCCATCTATAACAGTTTCTTTTTCTTTTTTATTAAGTTATTCATTTGTACAAAGAATACAATACAATAATACATGTGTAAGTGGCTTTGAGCATTATTAGCCACGTTCTACAATTACAATATACAATGTATTGAATCATTAATATTGATTAAAATAAATGAGATACAAGAAGATAAAAAGAAGATCTATAACAGTTGATATTCAGGGAATGGGGGGGGGCAATGTACTTAGTCTTCAAATAATGAGTATTCGAATACAACAAAATTAACAGTGAAATATCTAAAGAGGGATTAGTGATAGCATTAATGGACAGTAGCATCCTGGATGAAAATAATTTACTGAACTGGCAAATGAACTATTTCTAATAAATCCTCACGTTAAGATTATCTTTGAAGACAGGAGTCAAAGTTGAGCCATATATTTTTTCCCCATTTTCTATTTACAGTTGTTACCCGTAATAAGAGTTCCATTGGGCCCATAATAAGAGTACCATTGGGCCCATAATAAGAGTACCATTAGGTCCATAATAAGAGTACCATTAGGTCCATAATAAGACTACTATTGGGTCCATAATATGAGTACCATTTGGCCCATAATAAGAGTACCATTAGGTCCATAATAAGAGTTCCATTGGGCCCATTATAAGAGTTCCATTGGGCCCATAATAAGAGTACCACATTGGACTAATAATAAGAGTACCATTAGGTCCAAAATAAGAGTACCACATTGGGCTAATGATAAGAGTACCATTAGGCCCATAATAAGAGTACTATTGGGTCCATAATATGAGTACCATTTGGCCCATAATAAGAGTACCATTGGGCCCATAATATGAGTACGAGTACCATTTGGCCAATAATAAGAGTACCATTTTTTTAATATAAACTAGATCAAAGAGTGATATCTTATTTATAGACTGTGCACAAGGTTGTGTTTTAAAAAGTATATTCGAAATTATTTTTGTAAAAACACTATTTTAATGGATGCCTAGCTAACATTCAAGAATTCAACTACTGGCTGACAGATTAACCACTATTTTGAAATTCTTTTAAATATGAATATGAATGTACTATGTACATTTACTATTAATATTCAAGTTAGTTGGCCATGATAATATAGGTTAATCCGACAGCCGCCAGTTGAATTTGCAATTGCTAACTCGAGATCTCATTGTTGAAATTATACTCCTTCTAATGCACATGGCATGCATAATTGATTACTCTGAATCTAGGAACCTACTTCTGTTATATGCAGGGGTTTCACTAGAATTTTTCAAATCAGGCTAAATAAATGAAAACAATAGGCGAAATTAATGGAAATCATAAATTTAACACGGAAAAGTTAAAAAGTCCCTAAAAACAGTAGGCGATTTTGTGAAAACAACCGATGAAAATCGCCTGTTGCTTGCTGCTAATTAAACCCCTTTATCTTTCATTCTCCAATAAGTATAGTTAATTCTATTGTAACATATCAAGAATATCCCATTTGTGTCTACTATACAAAATAGCACTCAAGAAAGGAATCTGCAAGAAATAAAGTAAACAGGCATGTATTCAATACTTCAAATTATAGAAAAATACAAAAAATTGATGCCATTCATTGAAATTCTAGAGAGAAATGGAGTAGATTTACAAAATGAGCAGACGTACTTTGAGTGGGTCAGATAATCGTTTACATGTTTTGTCCAGGAAGATATCATGATCATTTTTCATCCCTGTCACTGAGAATTAATGACATTTTGTAAACCTTATCTTAAAGCAATAATTTCTGCAAATGTCCTCTGTCTTTGGGAGTATTATTATTAAGGCTTAAGGAGGGGATTTATTTGGTTTGAAGTTTAGCGCACTGCCATGTTTAAACGTAAACCATGATACCATGGTATACCATGGTTTACCATGGTCTATCATGATCGGCAATGAAATTACCATCAACTCTGACCATGGTGGCAATGATGTTTTTTGGTCAATTTTTGACCATGGTATACCATGGTATATCATGTTATACTATGTTTCATGGTATTTCATGTTCAAAGGTAACCATGAAATACCATGGTATTATCATAGTATTTCATTGCCATGTTTCTGACCATCATTTACCATGGTATTACCATGGTATATCATGGTTGATTGCATTTCATGGCATTTCATTGTAAGATGTGACAATCAAATACCATGGTATTTCAATGCCATGTTCCTGACCATAATTTACCATGGTATATCATGGTTGATGGCATTTCATTATAAGATGTAACAATCAAATACCATGGTCATACCATGGTATTTCATTGCCATGTTCCTGACCATCATTTACCATGGTATTACCATTGTATATCATGGTTGATGGTATTCCATTGTACGATGTGACAATCAAATGCCATGGTCATACCATGATATTTTATTGTTATGTACCTGACCATCATTTACCATGGTATTACCATGGTATATCATGGTTGATGACATTTCATGGCATTTCATTGTACCGTGTGACAATCAATTACCATGGTCATACCATGCCATTTCATTGCCAAAATCATAACTCTCATTTATCATGCTTTTATCATTGCATTTCATGGTTGGTGGTATTTGATGGCATTTTATTGTCAAACATGACCATCAAATACTATGGTCATACCATGGTATTTCATTGCCATAATCATAACTTATCATTTATCATGGCATATCATTGCATTTCATGGTTGATTGTATTTCATAGCATTTCATTGTCAAACCTGACCATCAAATACCATGGTTATATCATGGTATTTCATTGCCAAAAGAACTCTAGAAGAGTGTCAAGTCTAAAATTGGTCAGAGTTGAAATGGATCATGAAATGCAATGAAATACCAAGTTTAACCATGAAATGCAATGAAATACAATGATTGATCATGATATGCAATGAAATGCAATGGTCTTTCTTGCAATGCAGTGAAATACAATGAAAGACCATGTTCAAAAAGTATTTTTTACATGAAATATCTTTATTAATAAATGTTAATTAGATAACCAAATTATTATAATTAGTGATTCTGATATTCATCAAAATCACAACTTAATATAGTTTTGTTCCTTTATTTAATAGATTAATTTCTATAATGAATAATTATGTTAATAACCCTAGAAACAAATTTTTTTATTAAACAAATATGCTTTACTTTTATTTGACTGTTGTCGCTAAAATAGGAGATCAACTTAATATTTTGTAAGTTAAACCTCCAGTCTTTGACTAAACATCTTGACTGTACTTCATTGCATTTGATGGTTTGCAACCAGAAATGCTGCAAAAGAGCAGTTTTTTGAAATGCAAAATTTTAAGTATCGTGACCATAGTATACCATACTAGATCATTATAATTAAATGGCTCCATTGCATATCATTGCATATCATGGTTGAATGTCTAGACCATGATATCAC